TTACAGATTAAGGGGCGGTGATATTATAATGAGATCCCTATGCAACGTCACCAAGGGAGCGAAATCAGACTCACTCGTTTTCTCAGACGCTTGCAGAAAAAGGCTTACCAAAACAAAGATACTGAGTAAAAAATCTTTTTCACGTTTCCTTGGTTGGTAGATGCACCGTGGACCTGATTATAGCACTTAAAACCTGGAAAAGTCAGATTTTCATGATATGTCACCTTTAAGTGCAACCAGGCTGTGACAACATGACATTTTAGAGTCATTAAATTAAATATATTCTGGTCCCACTTTATATTAGGCATCTTCAAATACTATGTAGTTAATAATAAAATAATGAATTGTTAGTTACAGTGTACCGTTTGTGTTCATGTTGAATTACAAAATGCTTAAGATAAGGTTACAGATAAGATTAGGAGCAGTTTTGGTGGTCTGGTTAGGACCAGTTAAGGGTGGAGATAGGGTCAACAGTGTAATTATAGATGTAATTACAGATATTAACAGCAGATGTAATTACAGGATGATATTTGTAACAATGTAACAGCATGTAATAAGTGCATGTATTAAATTATTAATTTAAATGTAAGTACATAGAACTTAATATGAAGTCGGTCCATTTTCATTGAATGTTATAAAAGCCATATGAAAACGTTAAAATCCCACATTTAACCAGCATTGGTTTGTACATTTTTTAAAAAATGTGTTTTAGGTTTTACGTTGTCCAAAAATATAGTAATATTCAGTAAATCCTGAACATAAGTATACATAGAAAATATTTAAGTTCTGAGCCTTTCACTGTTACCGAACTATACAAGTAGCACACCGTGTGATTTATCTAAACAATGCAGTACGGCGGCGTTGTGGATTTTGGTAGAGACTTTCTGTTTGGTAGAGTCCCGGAAGTTGCATAAATGTTTACTTGTCACATTGTCGTCATGGAAATTCATTGGACCAAGCCCTGGTTTTCTCTCATCCATCCAGTATTTAAGACACAGTACCACAGATGCCAGAGTAAGTACAGACTGTGACATTACAGTAACTGGACAAGAACATCTGCGCAAGGTAAACCATTCATCTCTCGAATGTATACGCTACATTTAAGCTTTCTAATCTATCTTTATTATTGGCAACTGAATAATAAATTAATTTAATCTGAGCTAAACCCTGTTTGATTTAACTAGAGAATAATATTTTCACATTAGGTTCTTTTGATTTGCAGGATGAAGACTTTACATGCAATGCTGCTGATGCTGTTTGTTGCATCAGTCTTTTCAAAACCAGTAAGTATTCAGTAATGTTTTCTTTTACAGTTTTTTTTTTTTTACTATGATTTTTTAAAATAAAGTGTTACTGTTATACTTTATTAACTTTGTATTTTTTCAAGAGCATACAGTACTATTATTAATGAGATGATCAACTGTTTAAATCCTCAGCCTTACCCGCGCAGAAGATCTGATTCATCAGACTCGGAGGGTTCGGATGAAAAT